TTTGGTTTTGTCACCGCAATTTGCCTTTGAAAATGTCGGCTGTCATTGTTTGTGTTAAAAACACCTCAGAAAATTCCTATTTTCTCACCTTCCCATCCTTGGTTTATATTGAAAACAAATAGATTCTAGTACCGTATGTCCTTTTAAATATATTTGAGGTAATTAAAACCTCCAAAGATGTACAAGCACTGTGTTTTGGCTTGCACACTTTGTTGAATTTTAACACTTAGTTACTGTTCTAAATTTCATGTTGTAAACATCTTGCCCAAAAAAGCAAAGGAGTATTTTTTATAATTTTTGATCATTTTCTAATTCATATCTCAATAGATGAAAATTGGTTATAATATAGATATGTACTAATTTAGTAAATAATTTTTTTTTGGTTTTTATATAAATATATGGAGATATTGCCCCTTTAGGTGATGAGTGACATGAAAAAAATAGTGTCACTGGTTTACAAATAAAAATTCTCATTGAAAAAACTAATGATATATATATAGGTATGCAAGTTCATTTAAACTAAATTTGGTCAATCATATATTAATAATATTTGGTTGATAAGACCAGATTTTTTCATGCAACTGTTTCTGAGATATTGCCATTTTGGTGAAAGCTCTTGAATTCAGTCACGTATTCGCCATATTGCTTGCACGTAAGGGGGGTAGAAACATGAAAAAATATAAATAAATAAATATAATTATTCGTTTATATATATATATATATATATATATATATATATATATATATATATATATATATATATATATATATATATATATATATATATATATATATATTCTCTCCTAAAAAGGGGACTGACAATGGGCTTCCCAATCCTGCCCAATCCTGTCTCTGCAGAGAAGAATGGGGCTGGCATTAAAGTTACCTGGTAAGTCCTGAAAAAAATATCTGGATCTAATGTAATTGTCCTGCTTTCATTATTGCCTTCAAATTTAAATGTTGCTAGAACTTGACTGGCATTTTCTTTTCTTGCAACAAAATGATTGTTCATAACAACCACAACTTTCTGGCTGCCATCTAGTATAAATTTTGCCAGAAAACCACTTGCTTTCCTATACAATAATAAGGAAAGTATCATTAAAGACAATCAGGAACCATTCCAAAGTGTCCAAATAAAATGCAAAGCAGTAAAGCACTACTCAAGTCCAATTGCTATCACTCACATTTTGGGAGACACATTCCTTGAATAGGACTTTGGCAAAGATGGGATAAAAACCCAACTAATTCTTGGCCAAAAATAAACCCAGTAATGCACAAGGCAAATATGTAACAAACTAGCAGTTGCTCCTTTCCATGGGTTTATATTCCAGGGTGTGCAAGGGGAAGGTAGGACTGCCAACAACCCATCAAGAAATGAAATACACCCAGACATTCCAACCTCTTGAACCTCAAAACCGGGACATTTATGGTAGGGTGTAAAAAAAATACCTGTGGTCAGGGGCGTAGGAAGCACCTGGAGTTTGGGGGGGGCACCGGCTTGTAGGGGCACATTACTATCGGAAAGGGCACCTAAAAAATTTTTCCCGGAAATGTTGTCGGGGGGAGGAGAGAAATTTCTCCTGAGGAAAATTTTCCGTCGTATCATACCGAAATTTATGTTTGTGACCTAATTTTTAAAAAAAATTTGTAAATTTCCACACAATGTGACATAACATTGGAATATACTTATTGAAATTAAAGTAAATCATCATTTGTTCGTTTGTTCATTCTAGAAAACCTTGAGCTAACCCAGGCAAGCCATAATTGACCCTTACATTTCTATGATATCCAATGACACTTACAGGTATGTGATTTCTACACAATTTCCGCGAAGGTGGCGACGCTAAACGATCATATACTATAGATCGTAATGCAAACAAATAAAGCGAGCTAAAAAATGTGAATTCACCAAAAATATGTAATTTATGGAGAAACTGTCAATTACTTTTATAAAACTTCTAAAAACAGGGACAATTTTATTTCTACTAGGACAAATGAGACTAAATCAGGACTGGATATCCAATACGATTTGCTCATTTAAGTCATTTCATTGTAATCATGTTCATTTATAAAATCAAACAGGATATCTTTTATGTTTCAGATTTGATTGACAGGCATATCAATTTCGACCAATGGGAATTTTGCATTGTGTTGGCAACATGTATTTCATTTCTTGATGTGTTGTCAGCAGTCCCTCCTTTCTCCTAAGGGACACTTCAGTCTAACTTCACAGATTTGTTCTCTTGGGGAGAATCGGGTAACATGTATTTCATTTCTTGATGTGTTGTCACTTGTCAGCAGTCCCTCCTTTCTCCTGAGGGACACCTCACAGTCTAACTTCACAGATTTGTTCACTTGGGGAGCATCGACAAATAGATTTTGTCACGCTTAACTGCATTTGTGCTGTTAAGGCCTCAACCCCCTCCCCCCTTAGCAGTCTGTGGCCTAAGCAGCATATGACACAAAATTCAAGTTGTATTCATGAACATGTGTGTCTAAAAGGAAAATCTTCTGTGTATATTTAGATTCTTGTAGTTCCAATTAAGAAGATACATTGTGAACAGGGAGTATAAAATAAAACATAATATTGACAGGATATGGTCAACTTTCATCTGTTATAAGCAAAGAATCTCACACAAAAATTTAAGGCGAATTTTTCGTCACAGAAAAGTAATTTTAACAGCACAGACTATGACCCCCTCCCCCTTGACGAAACCTATTTGTTGCTCCCTTATTGCTGATTGTTTGATGATCAATTATACTCAGAAGTCCGATAATTAATCACATATATTTCTGAACTAACCACTTCTCCACTTGTCTCTCAAACGGCCAGATTTATATAAACTGCCTGTAAATTTGCTTGTTTGTTTATACAGAATAACAAAATTCCTTTCACTTTTGGCTCTATGGGTTAATATTTTCACAATAGGCAGGGAACATATTAAAAACACGAAAATAAACTATATGTTGCCAAATTACTTTTAATATCATACAGAAATTTAATAACAAACCCATCAATTGAACTTCCATTCATCAAAGTAAGCTGACATACTGAGGAAATACAGGAACTAAATTTAGCATAGGACAAGTTGTTGGAAATCAAGATAGCTTCGTTTTGACCGCCAGTAGAAGCCATTTCCCTCAGTCAGGATGAATGACACGATCATTTAATTGAAATATGACCTTTTGCGATATTATCCACGTATTATCAATTTTACAATGATTCGTAATGTTGATAAAAAATATATTAGCAACAACTGTTGTTTGAGAAAGATAAGTGTTGTTTGGCAGTTTTGTGACTTTGATTACACATCCAGAACTTCATATAAGTAAAGATATACTGACGTTGGAAAGACCCTGGGTACGAGACTCGTACAATCCAAAAGACATGTCTTTCGGATTGTCTATGGTTGGGGCAAAGGTCTGGTCCGACTAGCGATCCGTCCGACTTTTGTACCTGCCTTGATGTTGGGCATTTAAACGCAAAAGACTTACATGTAATTGTAAGGCTGAAATCTGTGGAAGGCACCAGGGGCATGCATACTCCCCGGAAAAATCTGAAAAAGTGAGGATCAGAATTAATGCCATTCCCTGCTCTTCCTGGCACCAAATTGAAGCTTGAACAAAAACGTAAGCCATAAAGATTCGATTTTGGTACTGATGGGTTTGGTAGTTAGCAAGCTATAGTGGCCAGCAAACGAAGCACAATTGAACTAAAATATTTAACTACTTGTAGATGGTTCAGGAATCGTTTATATATCTATCTATAAGCACAGAACATGTCTTATAAAATATAAAACAACGGTAAAATAAACATTTCAGTATTCTAGCTTTCGACTAAGATTCAGTCATCATCATGTTTCCTGATGATGACTGAATCTTGGTCGAAAGCTAGATTATTGAAATGTTTATTTTCGGAGTTACCGTTGTTTTATATTTTATAAGACATGTTTTATATTTTATTAAAATACTCAGTGGTTCCCGTAATTTATGTCTTATAAAGGAAATATATTTACACCTTATCTATTTTGGGAGATGTCAAGTCCGGGGCTACTGCCCCCTCCTGCAAAATATTAGGGGGTGTCAAGTCCGATGCTCCCTTTGAATTTGTCCAGAACCTCTATGCATGCTAGTATTGTTATTACATATTCAGACGAAAAAATGCCATACTTTATTTTAAAGTACATGCATGACAACTTAAACCTTAAGCTTCCAACTGCGTTCACCCTATTTTTCAACACGATCAGCTTCGCTTACAAGAACTGCCATAAAAAATCCCTGTAAATGACGGAGACAGCCCATTTTCAGAGTCGCCCTGGTACTGGAATAGTGACTAAATGGAGTCAATCAGTTTAATTTGCGAACCAACGTGGAAACGTTTCTTATAAAAGGCTACATATGTGTGAGATGAAGTTATGCATGTTCGGACAAACAGGACAAAATCATGAACAAGTCTACTGTACTCTACTCTTTCGGTCCTGTATACTTTAGAGAAGAGTTTGGAACGATATTGCTGTTGTTGTACCCCCTTCAAAGCAAAGCATTTTCATAGCCTGACATATTGTTGGAGTAATGTTGTTATGCTAAGTCAATAAAAAAGACTACACTGCATGTATTACAAACGTTGTTTTTTTTTGCATTAAATGCATCAAATCACATTGGACTCCATATCAACAGATCAATAACTTTCACTCATACATCACAGTTACAAACTGTACCCCAATACGTTAGTGCCGTTTCATAACGCGGCATAAGATTCCGAATTAAAAGGTTGTTGTAATGGTCCTCAAGGACATAAGATTCGACCGTTGTCACCATGACTAGTAGAATAAGCTCATGCAGATTTCCACTTCACACAGGAGGGCATGGTGGTGCACCCATCACGCACGCCCAATTACCACATTCCTGACTCAACGACTTCTGCGCTTTCGATGTTTTGCCTTCTTTCTTCCTCGGTTGTTTAGGCCAATATTCGTTGAAACGGAACTCATTGTAGGAGCTGAAAAAATATAGAATGTCTTAGGGGTCATCACTTTCACAAACGTACGGAGTGTACTCTTTTTACGAACCCCTGCCCCCCTCAGCTATCGACTAATTTTTTATCTGGACAAGAAAGACAAAATATATCATTATAGCTCAAAAGAGCATCCTAAAATTAGTAAAATCGCAAAGTTTGGTTGCGAAATGTCGTAAAATGCGAAAAATATAGCCCTGTGAAATTCCGCTCAAAAGCGGTGCAATTTTTCCACGCGTGATACTATTAAAATACTCAAAATTTGCTAATTTCACAGGACTATATTTTTCGCATTTTACAACATTTCGCAACCAAACTTTGCAATTTTACTAATTTTAGGATGCTCTTTTAAGCTAGATTTCGTCCTTCTTGTCTAGATGAAAAATCGTCGTCAGCTGGAATCATCCATTGTTGTATAATGTATATACTGTACCTTACGAATGATGACGATAGATCGACAATTCAACATTTTAAAAAGCGTACATTGTTTTTCCAACCCTCAGCGTATACGGTTTGTATGCTTGTGAAAATGTCGATAGTTATGAAGACCGCTAAGATTATACAACTATAATTACATTAAAATTACATCGGGCGAGTTAAACTGCTTTGGATTGCAAACTAAGGGACTGGTCATTATTTATGGCGGGGCGTGGCAATCAACCGAGGAGAAAAAACAAAATAAACGTTAAGTGAGTAAAAGGTTGGGTAAACGAAAAACAAAACAAAACATCGCATTTCCAAAGCATGAGTCACTCACATATTGAAGACTATAAAGCAATGTCAACAGTCATATATGTCAATGCAATATGTAAATCAATCAGAGTCACTATCTTGATAGTTTTCCGATTTGTCAGGACGCAAATGGTGTCTCCAAAGAAAGTACAGGTGCAGACATCATGAAACTGTAGACTGCAGAAAAGTGCACAAGCAGTTATGAAACTCATGTGAAACAGAAGTGGCAAAGGACATGTGTGATAACTGAATGGTGTCGTTTTTGGCCAGGGGTGCATGGGTATTTATTTTTTAATTGATATTTGAGGTTGGGTAAAACCCCCCAACTTTTTAATGGTTGGAGCAGCAAAATTTTCACGAAGAAAAACATTTCACTTCGGTGCCACCCCCGCGCCATAAATAAAGACCGGTCCCTAACGCAAAAATGACGTGTTACACGAGGCAGGCTTTGCAATTGCTACAACCTGTACGCAAATTCTGACACAGACCCATGCCATGTACAAGCGCATTCGAAGAACTACGGTAAGTATGCCGTCGACTCACTTGTCCGGTATTTCTCAATTTCATTCGACTTTCACGCCAATACGAATAATTTCGTTTATTTTCCTTGCTATCTTCATTACAATCTCTCTCCCTTGTTTTCTTCCCTTAGTCATTTCACATTCATTTTGACCCTCAATTCCTCTAACACGTCTGGAGTTTCTTTCATTGCCTTATCACTCGTTTTAATTTTCTTCCCTTTAATTTATTTCCTATTTTATTTATTTCATTCCCTCTTATCCCCAATCCTCCTTATTACATTTCTATTTTCGTTTCTTTTCCTTTCCTTCCTTTTCAAGTTCACTGCCAGTCGTTCTCGATGTTTACAGTATATACCAGAGTGCAATTAATCGCGTTCTTACGTACCCGAAGGTACGCCTATATTACGATCTTGTACTTCTTCTTTTCCAGTCAAGTAGGTACACAGTACTCTCGCTATCTGCGTACTTGCTTTATGCCGGTACCATATGACTTTTCCAAGCCCAAGGTATTTAACCGTAATTGAGTCGGTATATGTATGTGTAAGTCTGGTATGTCTTGGCATGAAACATAATTGGACTGGTGGAACTAAATAATGTTGGAGACAATTGTAGTGTCTGTATATGCAACTGTATTGTGCTCCTTGCTCTAAACCCTAGTTTCAGATTACCGAATGAATACCTTTCAGAATGCTGTACGTTACGTATACTTTATTTTAAAGTACACCTCGAGTCTTTAGTTTGTACCAGAGGCAATAACCATTGGAGCACCAGTCAGGCACGAATTAAAAATCTTAAATTATCGCACCCTGTATAAACGTCCACGTAAACTTACATCTTGATACTTCTTCATCTCCAAGAGAAACGTTAGAGTCTTCCTCCCACGCCAATCTAAATATCGTTAAGAAAAACTGTTTCATTTACAGTACAAGTAATATCCTTACATCTAAGGATGAACTGGTTGGCCGAGCTTCAAGCAGGAGAAGATAACAACACAATAGAATAATAAATTAAGCATTTATCCATGTAATAGGCAAGATACCTGTTTAAACTATCACGTAACGATTGACCATCTCCATCATCAAAGCCATCCACATCTAGAGAAATGGTTTATTTTGTGTTGATATTTTATAGTTACCGCGTAATATAATAAATATTTAGCAATTATTGAACGATGTTGAGCTGAGCATGATATGAAGAATTATGAAGTTTGTGTTGTCGCTCCTTTAATGTGTTTTTAAAAAACTATTTTCGAATTTACATTTTTTAATCTCGGCTTCCCCAAGGTCGGCGAACTTGTTGCTGGAAGCCATTTGTGTTGTTATGTTTTTCATATTGCACCAGGTGACGTCAATCGTCCAATATTCTTGTTCATATTGCACCATTGATGTCACAACTCCATATTTGGTCTCCCATTGAGTTGTTATAGCAATAAAAATGTAATATATAATGTAATATATGATATAATGTAATGTAATGTGATGCAAAGGCGGCAGTTTCGTTCCCTGCGAGAGGGCCTATACTTGCATTTTTCGTTCTATTGCTGTCAAAGAGTCGGAAAATTCCGCATTGACTGCATCACATTTTATTTACGTAATTTTGCGTAATATCGAAGCAACTTACCAACTTGTATTTCATCTTGTTCTATAAGAAAACTAATCACAAAAAACATTTTAAACAGCGATCAACAATATAAGAATCACTTTGATCCAAAATCAAAGTACTGGAAGGTTTGAAAGTGTTAAACTGGAAAGTTTTAAATTTTTAAAAGATATATGACAAGATATAGAAATACTGTATACTTACCCATCAGATTTAAATTTAACAGGCGTTATATCAGCTTGACCTAAATTGTACAATGATTATACTTCTAAGACATTGTCATTATTACTATTACAAAAAAGTAAAAACTGAAATGTATAGTATATATACATGCAGTATATCCTACAGTATCAACAAAAAATAATATTCAATCAGCCTTTAACTTCCGTCATACACTTTTAGTATCATAACTTGCAAAATATGGTGGTATACTAAATGTTAAAGGTTCTTACCAACTAACAACAACCGAATGGATCTTCTTTGGTCATCTGTATGTTGAGGACATTTTTGGGTCCTAACAAAAGCAACAAAACAAGGTTATGTTTGCCAGGTTAAAGAATTTTTTATACAGAACGTCTGGATGCATGTCGATTACCGAAGCTTTCATTTTCAAGTCTAATAGTGATAAAATAACATAAGATGAAAGAAACTGTGCATGGTCAAACGCCCGCGTATTGACTGCAATATCCTTATATCCGACCCTCCTGAGTCCTCCCCAAAATCTAAGTATAGTTTGCTGTAACAATTTTAAAATAATGTAAAACTATATTTTCAAACACTTACTTCGTACACATTTTCGATGTATGCTCTGATATAACACCACATGTCTACGAAAACGAAGCAAGTGAGCAAAACATTAACAAATGTACGCGAGAACTCACAATATACAGGCAGAGCATAAAAAATTTAGGCTACACACCTTTGACAATAAACCTCGTTTTTCATCTAAAATTCAACAAAATAATTTTTAAATTAGTGATTTTACAAAAAGTAGTGTCTTAAAATCAAAATAACAATGATACATGAAATAAAGTACCTAATGAAAGTGCCTCAAATGCTTGAAGAGTAAGGCCAGCCTGTCCAAAAACGAAAGCTGTCTTAATATGGAAAGTTAAGTTCAGGAAGCTGAGACTGTATACAGTACATGAAGGTATATACCTTATAGGCAGGTAATATGTCGGAACTTGGTGTACTTGGACGTCCTGTTTCGCCTGTGGGGAAAAATATTATCAGTTCCTAGGAGCACCTTATGTTGAGAAACAAACAGTAAATGTCACAATTACCATTCTTCTTAAACGTTTTTGACCTCCTCGGGGAGTTGGCATTCTATGAAAACAAAAAGGTCTTTCACACTTTATATTTCATTTTAACCGTGTCAGTTTTATACCCTGTAGCACAGGAAATACTTGATAGGTGTGTTTCAATAAAGCTGTGGATTGAGAGAGATACTACTTACCTGAAAAATGTACAAGTTCTGTTTGTGTTGTTCAGGTAGTTGTATCTCCCTTAAGGCCGTTTTCCACTAGGCGAATTTTTTCGCGCGAACAGATAAAAAGTAGGAAGCGATCCTACTTTTTCGCCGCGAATTTTTTCGCCGACCAATCACGTTGCCGGATTTCGGTTTTCGCTTCGCGTCGCGCGAACAAATTCGCCTAGTGGAGAACGGGCTTTAATCCGCAGCTGTCTTGCCAT